CTTGAACATAGACGTTAAGTGGAATGCTCCCTTGTATTCGTCTATATTAATCTTGCAATGATATTGAAACTTTAAGGTATACGCATATGCTTCTCCTACGAGTAACTTGATTACTCACCCTAGTGGTTTGGGTTATTTTTCAGGTAAAGAGACCATGTTCATGGATGCTCATCATCCTTAGAAGATTTTAAGTTATTTGAAGCATTTTTGTATATTGACATGCATTTGTTTAGCATGCCTTCCTTTTTGGATGTTAATTTTGTATACCATGGATGTATGGTATTATAGAAGCTAAGATGGCTTCCTTGATGTGTAATGTATATCTAAGAACACTTGAAGATGTCTATTTTGTAAGCATAACATGAGGCCAAGTGCCATGTACATTTATATCACATGTATGCTAGTTTAATCCCATAGTTGTCTTATGAAATGATGAGAATTCGAGGTTTGACAGGTTGTATTTTGTATAGGACATGTTATGTGACCATGAGCTATTGGAACATGTGTATTTACTCATTTTGCATATGTGTGCATGTTCACTTTAGCACACAACACCATTCTTGAAGAAATGAACACTTAGAGTAGCATTCATTTACATATTTTTGCTAAATGAGACCTCAAGGGCATTTTTGGTATTTCACTTGAAAAATAAATGTTGGTCTTAACATGGTTGACTAGAAAACATGATTTTAAGGGGGGTTACTTCACAACTTTTTTCCAAAAAAGTCCCAGAAAGTCCTCAATATGGCATTTCAAGGTTGCATTTCAGGTGCAGCTACAGGAGTTCGAGCGCTCTAAAGGGGAGTTCAAGCGCTCGAAGTTTGGGCAGAAAGTTTTGGGCTCAGGCAGGTACTATTCGAGCGCTTGAAGTCCTAGTTTGAGTGCTCGAAGCACTAGTTCGCAGAGTGTTTTTGTGTCTTGGTTCAGCACTGCACCTCCAACTTCAAATTGTCATACCTTCCTCGTTTTAACTCCAAATTGGTCCATTCTTGAGTCTAAATTGACCACATTGAAATAAGCTTTCAATGGTACCAATTAGAGTTTCATATTCCTTTGGTAGCTCAAGTTATTCAAGTTTTAATAGAGGGGTGTCAGTTTTTGGCTCAAACCGGGATAGGGTTTTTCTTCCTTCGACTTCAAGACTTGATATCTTTGCCGTCCGGACTCCGAATCAAGTGATTCTTGAGTCTAAATTCATTAATTTTTTGTTGTCTTTCCAACGGTGTGCTTGGTACTACTCACTTTTATTATGGAAATGACCATTTTGCCCTTGGGTTCCTTTTTGTCCATTTTTGAAGTCTTGTTTCCACATTTGTTTTCTTTGGGTTCTATGATCTCATTGAGGGTCTCTTTGGTGTCCTAGAGACATATTGTGTCCCTAGGGATGTCATTTTCTCTTTTTCTTCCGTAATTCGGATCCGTTATCGGGTCATCTTTCGGTTCATCACTGACGCACAGGGTTGAAAAACCTTGGGCTGTCACAATATCATTCAATTAATAGATTGAATATTTACATCAAAGGTCTGAGTAAACCTTTAATTCTTTCCTCTAAAGTGAATGTTCTCACTTATTGTAGATCCCTTAGCAAGATGCCTTCTTCTTGGATCTCCATCTTTTTGGTAATTGTTTTGCCTTAAGGAATCACTCATAAGCCTCTATGAATGACCTTGGAAAACTTGGCTTGTGGGAGCCTCCATTAGATGAGAACATAAACCCTAATTTTCTAGAGAGAGAAAATATATTCCTTTTTCCTTCTCATAAAAATCACCCCAAAAATATACATAGATCATATATATTTATAGGCAACATAAAGATAAAGAAAAGGAAACAACAAAACCTTCTTAATCTCTAATGTCTCAAATCTAATATGATTCCAATATCAAGTTGGGCTATGAGTGAGAATCCATTGGGCCTATTATTTTATTGGCTACAATGAATTAATAATTGGCCCAGTCCATGGACCCAATTCAATTAATTCATAAATTAATTTCTACTCCACTAAAAAAAATTAATTGAACTCCAATTAAATAATAAATAACCTCTAAGTCAATATTGCACTTTGACCCCTCTATGTATAATTAATTATCGGATAAATAAAGCCATCAATCCGACTACTTAATTAATATATTTATTTTGGTACCTTTGATTATTTCTGGCTCGATCACAATAAAACATTTGTTTGACAAAAATAATAATTTAAATAAATAAATATATAATAAATCATTTTGTCTAAAAACACACGAAGGCCTTCGAATTTACTTTGTGATCAACCATAATTAATACAAAATAAATACAAGTAGCAATGATGCAAAAATTGAAAATATAATTCTCTAACTATTAATTACATAACTACCCAAAGTGTCGATCTAAGGATCCCGAAGAATTCGCTGAACAAATTAAAGTAATTATTAATTAATAAAAGAGTCTATACTTTTCTCATGCTTAAGAGTCAAATGCCATAATGGTGATACGGATCAATTGCATACGACGACTCTCGCAATATATCTCAACCTAACGCAGATCCAGTTCAAGTCTTAATTAATTATGATTCCATTCATAATTACTGACTATGAACAATTTATGATTACTATTTATATTCATGTATTGATCGCCATCACATACATATATAAATATCTCTTGTAATCAAGAGGACACTATCAATTCTATAATGAATCGAAACATAATACATTGAATTCACCAATTGTACAAAACATAAATATTTCAGAAACGTCAGGAACATATGTCACTTTAATCCAAATAGGAATTTGCTATGCTAGGGCATATAAATCCCAACATCAAGCTCCTAGGGCCTCGTGCCAGACCTCAAGGATCGAGCACCATCATACAAAGCTTGAGCCATGAGTATCTAAAGCTCAAGCCTGGTACCTAGTGCTCGAGCCCATGAAGCTTGGATCGAGCAATGTTAAAAGAGATGAATTCCAAAAATATTCTAAATGTGGCAAGAAAAGATGCTTCGAAAAATAGTTGAAGAAATTTGGCTAAGTGTCAAAGTGAAGATCGAGCACTATTCCTTGAAGCTCGAGCATCAATCCAAGAAGCTCGAGCCTTATTCCTAAAGCTTGAGCCCGAACCTCAAAGCTCAAGCTTTACTTCTTAAAGCTCGAGCCTTCCATGACAAATCAGATTTACATTATAGGATTATTCTTTTTATAAGTCGTATCTCATTCAAGATGGGCCAGAAGACCTAAAATCCCACCAAACCTTTATTTTCTTCTATAAAAGAAGGCATAGGCCTTGATAGAAGAAGTCCATTTTTCTCATATTATTCAGAAGGCTGATACTATGGTGGTGGCCTTTAGGGTTTCTATAACCCTAGAAGGTGAAGATCCTGAGAAGAGAAGTGTCATCTGTGACGATGGAGATGACTACAACACAGATGTTATTTGGCATCGTCGTGAGTAGATAATTCCTCTCTTAGGGCACTGATGTAACCCAATCTAGTATTTTGGTTTGATTGTTTTTAACTCTGGGATATTTTGATGTATATTATGTTTTTTATTATATGACTATGAGCAATTGAGACAACTCAATTGGATTTAATGCTTTAAATAGTTTTCAAATTGTTATTACCTTGCCTTAGATATAACTATTTTTTTTCGATTCTCAACCTATTCTTGTTGGACGGTATCTGGTGGAGCACTACCAGACATAAGAATAGAGGTAATATAATGGTGTTCCAATATTTTTTTATAAAAGAATGTTTTCATAGTCTATACTTAGGAAAGATGGATTATTTACAAAGTAGTTAGAATACGTAGGTGGATGGTCCATGCTAACCATAGACAGGTTATAGTTAACTGAATTTTATAAATCATCTTTCTTTAAAACCCGAATTGAACGAATGTTATTGAGTTCAATTCATTTAAAATATAATTTGTTAAATTCACAGAGTTGAAACAGTTAACCAAAGTGTGAAGGTTGTGGTGAAGTCAAAGCCCTAAAACCTTTCTCTCTCTGATTTCTTTAGTTTAATTTCAGTTTACAATCATGACAACCAATCCAACAATTCAACTAGTTACCTGTAAACCAATAGGAATTAATTAAAAGCAAAACATAAATACTCATCTCCCTGTGGGTTCGACACCCTCTCTATAGTGCCATCCTACAAGGATTCGTTCTATTACGAGTGGTTATTTTATAAATTGATGATAACACACCACACTTATTTTTGGCGCCGTTGCCAAGGAGATTTGTTATTTAGTTTAGTTTTTAATTAATTCTATCTTTGGTTTACCAGTCTTCGGACTTTCTGATATCTCACCTTAATTCTTTTTCTTTTTAGGTACAGGAACTTACTAGTGTGGACAAAGACGCTTAAGGGATAAAAAGCTTCAGTTTATTAAACCTTTTGTGAATTTTTTCTGTTTTCTTTTACTTAGAAAAATTTTATATTTGTCACTTTTAGGATTAGTGGAATTAATGCATGTTAACTCGCCAAACTCGGTAAAAACCTTTAGTGCATGATCCTGAAATAGAGAGAACTCTTAGTTAATTAAGAAAACTTAAAAAACATTTGAATATAATAAGAAGTTTCTCTGATAACATGGCTAATAATCATGATACACCGGGTAATCGTAATGGTAATGGTAATGGAGAATGGGTGCCACCTGCTCTTCCGCAACCACAATTGAGGGATCATTTTATTCCTATCACATATACTTCTCCTTCGTGCTTTATATTTTCGGATGCTGATGCAACCCATTTTGAGATCAAGCCTGCTATGATCCAAATACTTCCTACCTTTCATAGGTTTACAATAGAGGATCCTTATATACACTTGGATGTATTTTTGGAATTGTATTCAACTACCAAGTTAACCACTCTTACCAATGATTCATTCAGGATGCGACTTTTCCAATTCTCTCTCAAGGACAAAGCAAGAACTTGGTTGCATTCCCTTCCACCAAATTCCATATCTACATGGGAGTTGTTACAACAAGAGTTCTTGAAAAAGTACTACACAATGGGTAAAACCTGTCAAATGAGAAAAGAAATCATGGCATTTTCCCAAATCCCGTGAGAATAGTTCCATGATGCATAGGAAAGATATAATGATCTTCTAAAAAAGTGTCCACACCATGATATTGCTTAATGGCACTTAATATAGATTTTCTATGATAGTTTCTCTGATTCTTATAGAAACATGGTTGATGTATCTAGTAATGGAGCCTTTCTGTGTAAGAGTCCGGCTGACACTTGGGAACTATTTGAGGCCATAAGTGAAAATTCAACGCAACATGTGTCTTCCTCTAGGTCTAGGTTTTCACCTGGAATGCATAAAGTTGAAAAAATCTATGAGGTAGACAAATCTTGTGAGTTAGTCGCTTAAATAGAAGCCTTGAACCGTAGGTTTGATCAAATCTTATCATCTGGCTTTGCTCCTATTGCTAATCCACAAAGTGACTTGCCAGAGGAAGTTTGTTCAATCTGTGCTAATCCTTCCCATTTCACTGATACTTGCCCTATAATGGGACAATCATATGAGATCCCATAGGAGCAAGTGAATGCTGCATTCTCTAGACCAGCTTATAATCCATATACTTCTACATATAATTCTAGCTGGAGAGATCATCCAAATCTATTATGGCGTAATCAAAGTCAAGGAACCACTATTCCTCAATCACAGGGACAATATCAAAATTCATCTAATCTTATGCCACAAAATAACTCTTTCAATCAATCTGGCATTTATCGTTCACCTCAGTTCAGGAATCAACCTACTCAAACTCCTAATCTTTCTCCTCCTCCTAGGAATTCTGCTTTTGAGGATCAAGTACTCAATGTTCTTGTTGATCTTAAAGCCAATACCCAACTTCGCAATTCTCATTCACAAGCCATAGCAAAGCTAGAGGCACAATTTGGGCAAATAGCAAGTACTCTATCTCAAAGAAAGGATAAAAAGCTGCCTAGTCAGCCAGTAGCCAACCTGAAAAGGCAGATTTACATGATTGATGAAACCAATTCCTTAGGTATTCATCATGAGCAAGTTTAGGCTATTACTATATTGAGGAGTAGTAGAGTGGCTGATAATCAAGTTGAAAAATGACAGAAAGAAAAAGTGAGGCTTAGGGTTCCTATTGTTCTTATCATCCATAATCCATATCCAAAGGATGTTTCCTCAAGTTCTATTCCACAATCTACCACAGGAGTTAAAGGTGGAGTCACTTTTTCATCTGCTCCTAACCTTGAGATAGCTTATGAACCAAGAGTGCCTTATCCTGAACGTCTCAAGGAACCCTCCCACTTTGGTAAACAAGGGGAGAAAATTCAAGATATGATGGAGGTCTTTAAACAGGTCAAAATCAATCTTCCTCTGCTTGATGCTATAAAGAAAATTCCAGCCTACAGAGAAAATCTAAAAGCCAAGTTCCTAAGAAAATTTGTCTCACCGAGCATGTCAATGTTATTCTTAAGTATAACACTCCTTTAAAGGTTAGAGATCCTGGTGCTCCTACAATTTCTTGCATCATTGGAAACAATGTGATAGAGCGAGCACTTTTTGATCTTGGAGCAAGTGTTAATCTCATTCCTTACTCAGTGTATGAGAAGCTAGGTCTGGGAGAGTTAAAACCTACGTCGGTTGTTCTACAGCTTGCTGACCATTCTGTCAGATAACCATGAGGTATTGTTGAAGATGTACTCATAAAAATGGACAAGTTCTTTTTTCTGGTTGATTTCTTAGTTCTTGATACAGAACCGGTCCACAATTCCAAAAAGTATATTCCAGTCATTCTTGGCCGTCCTTTTCTAGCCACAGCGAATGCTTGCATTAACTATAAGATTAGAGCCATGGATTTATCTTTTGGAAATATGAAAGTCAAGCTAAACATCTTCAATGCTATTCATCATCCCCACGATGATAGTGAATGCTTCTTCCTTGATGTTATTGATGAGTTGGTTGAGGAATCATTCTCAGCTATTTTATCCAAGGATCCTTTAGAAGTTTGTTTAAATCACTTCAATTATGAAGACTTCAATATCAAATCTTTGATAGCTGAAATGAATTCTTTGCTCAATCCCACTCCTATTATAGATTTTCCTCCATGGAAATCTAGACTTGAGCCTCTTCCTCCACTTTGTAGTACTCTGCCTATTCCTTCTTTAGAGTCGCCACCTAAGCTTGAGCTTAAGCCACTTCCGGACAAGCTCAAGTATACCTTCTTGGGTTTAAATGACACCCTCCCGGTGATCATTGCTTCCAATCTTACAAGTTCCTAAGAAAGTAGTCTCTTAAAAGTTCATGAGTAAAATAAAGAGGCTATTGGGTAGAGTGTGGCTGATTTAAGAGGAATTAGTCCCATAATTTGCATTCATCATATTCATTTGGAGGAGGATTCTCGAACATCTCAAGAACTCCAAAGAAGATTGAATCCTAATATGAAGGAGGTGGTTTTGAAGGAAGTTGTGAAATTGTTAGATGCGGGAATAATCTGCCCCATCTCAGATAGCAAGTGGGTGAGTCCTACTCAGGTAGTACCTTAAAAGACAGGTATTACAGTAGTTGAGAATTCTAAGGGAGAATTAGTTCCACAATGCATCACCACTGGATGGCGTGTATGTATTGATTATCGAAAACTCAACTCCGCTACTAGAAAAGATCATTTTCCATTACCATTCAGTGATCAGATTCTAGAGCGATTGACTGGTAAAAGCTATTATTGCTTCTTAGACGAATATTTCAGCTATAATTAGGTGACCATTGAACCTAAGGATCAAGAGGAAACTACTTTCACTTGTCTATTCGGTACATTTGCATATAGATGGATGCCTTTCGGATTATGTAATGCGCGAGTAACATTCCAGAGGTGTATGATGTTTATCTTTTCAGACATGGTTGAAAAGTTTCTTGAGGTCTTTTATGGATGACTTCTCTGTTTTCGGATCCACATTCGAAAACTGTCTCTAAAATTTGTCCCTAGTACTTCAGTGTTATAGGGAGACTAATCTCATTCTTAGTTGGGAGAAGAGCCATTTTATGGTTCAAGGACGTATCATTTCAGAGAGAGGTATTGAAGGTGATAGAGCCAAAGTAGATTTGATCTCTAAATTGCCTCCTCCTACCTTCGTAAGGGGAGTGCAATTATTTCTTGGGCACGCCGAGTTCTATCGATGATTCATTAAGGATTTCAAAAAAAATTCTCATCTTTTGTGTAATCTAATTTCAAAGGACGCTCTTTTTGTCTTTGATGAATCATGTATAGAAGCTTTCCATAAGCTTCGCTCTCTTTTTTCTTCAGCTCCTATCATGAATCCTCTAAACTGGGCTCTTCCATTTGAGATCATGTGTGACGCATCTGATTATGCTATGGGTGTTGTCCTGGGACAACGAGTAGATAAGCTTCCTCATGTTATCTATTATGCAAGCAAAACTCTTTCAGAAGCAAAATTGAATTATACCACTACTAAAAAAGAGTTGCTTGCAGTTGTCTTTGCTTTAGATAAATACAGATCTTATCTACTAGGTTCTAAAGTAGTAGTCTATTATGATCATTCTGCTTTGAGACATCTTCTCTCTAAAAAAGAAACCAAACCCCGTTTGATTCGATGGATCCTTTTGCTTCAAGAGTTTGATTATAAGATCCGGAATAAGAAAGGGTCAGAGAATGTGGTAGCTGACCATCTTTCTAGAATTCTGATTGAGGATACCTCAACTTCACTTCTAATTGTGATTCCTTTCTGTATGAACAACTGTTTGGGGTTTCTCATAAGGATTTACCTTGGTTTGCTGATATTGTGAATTACCTCGTAATAGGCAAAATTCCTTTGTCTTGGTCAAAGTAGGAAAAATATCGATTCTTCTCTCAGATTAAGAGGTACTATTGGGAAGATCCCCAGCTTTTCAAATATTGTGCTGATCAAATCATTCGTAAATGTGTTCCTGAGAGTGAATTTCATAGTATTCTAACATTCTGTCATAGTTTAGCTTATGGAGGTCATTTCAATGCAAAGAAAACTGCAGCCAAAATTCTTCAATGCGATTTCTTTTGGCCTTCACTCTTTCGAGATGCATACTTATTCTGTAGGTCATGCCTCCGATGTCAGCAGTTAGGATCAATTTCCAAAAGAAACATAATGCCCTTAACTCCGATCTTAGTCATTCAGGTTTTTGATGTATGGGGTATTGATTTCATGGGTCCTTTTGTTCAGTCAAATCATAATGAATATATTCTTGAGGCTGTTGATTATTTGTCTAAATGGGTTAAAGCAGTGGCTACTAAAATCGCCGATCATGCAGTCGTTGTTGAGTTCATTAAATGAACATTTTTAGTTAGTTTGGTATGCCACAAGTTATTATTAGTGATAGGGGTGCTCACTTCTGTAATAGGTATTTCCATACTCTGGTACAAAGATATTCCATTACTCATAAAGTTGCTACTCCCTATGATCCCTAAATAAGTGGCCAAGTTGAATTATCCAATTGTGAAATTAAGAGAATTCTTGAAAAAACGGTTAAGCCAGACCGTAAAGATTGGTCATTAAGACTAAATGATGCTTTGGGGGCTTACCGAACTGCTTTTAAGACTCCTATTGGAATGTCACCTTACTGTCTCGTTTATGGTAAAGGGTGCCACCTTCCTGTAGAGTTAGAACATAGAGTTTTTTAAGCATAAAAAAGCTCAACTTTGATATGAATTCTGCTGGTTCTAACAGGAAGCTTCAACTAACAAAGCTCGAAGAATTGCGTAATGATGTTTATGAGGGTACTAAGGTTTACAAATCAAAGACTAAGGAATTTCATGACAAGCATATCTTGCGTAAGACTTTTGAGCCTGGGAAGAAGGTTTGGTTATTTAACACACGACTGAAACTTTTTCCTGGCAAGTTGAAGTCACATTGGGAAGGTCCATACATGGTTATTTTTATTACACCTTATGGTGCGATCGAAATACAAGACTGCAAGACAGGACAACTGTCCAAAGTCAATGGACAGAGACTTAAGCCCTACATAAAAAGGTAGTGTGCAGAGAGGCACAGTAGAGGCAGTTGAACTTCATGATCCTATTTATCTGGACTAGAAAGGTCAGTTTTCGTCGAGCTATCGACATTAAACTTAGCATTTGTATGTTGTACCATAGTTTTGTTTT